AATGGTACTTTTCCGCTAACTTTAGTGACAAAAATTAGCATGAACTTTGTCTCCCGTTACTCCTGCTGAGCCAGCACAGTGATGCAAAAGCAAACTGGATTCCATTCCTCCTTGGGCATCTTGCTTCCTTACGTCCAGCCATTTAAACTTATGCAAACTCATCAAAGGCAATGAGGTTGCAAAAGTATTTCTGAGGATAGAATTTGACCTGCAGCATCATTATTGTGAATAAAGATCTGCAAGAAGGAAAGGACCCAGCTTGACAGTCAGATCCAGGTTGAGTTTGCAAGGCTGAAAATCAGTAGAAACCACTTTACACTAGGTTTGTGAATGGTTAACTAGTAAGCATCACACTTAATGGTTAACCGGTGGGGACTGGAGCAGGCTTGGCTGGAGCAATCTCCTTGCCCATCCTCCCTTTAATCGGTTTACCAGTTAAAGATTACGTTTAACCAGTTAACAAATTAAACAGGATTTTACATCCGTACGTTATGCATGTAGGCACAGTTCACTTGTGCTAGAAATCAGTGAGACACAATAAACACAGGGTCCCAGGAAGCTCTGTGTCAGAGTAGAACCACACTGTGGTGTCATCTTGGCAGGAGAAGAGGTGGTAACGTATAATAGAAACTGCCTTACTAAAACCAGTGCTGGAAGCAGCAGGTGGAGATCAGAAGAGCAGATTTGCTAGTGAAGGACCGATGGTGTGTGCTCTGCATGCATGGTAATCCTAGCCAAGTGGAGAGAGGTTCTGCACAGGGAATATTTTTGCAGGATCGGGGCCTGACTTTCTCCCACTATGCAGAGCTGCAGATGGACTCTGCAGGCTACAGAAACAAAAGACCATTTCCTATTTTTAATTATTTTTTTAAACCACTCCAAGTGAGTCAATTAGATGCCAAGGAAACTCCAGGAAAAGGATGTTTGTGATCTTGAGACCATTGTTGCATGGGTGTGCTGCTCTTCTCTCTGTTGCAGCCTTTTGTTCTGCTTCTTCTGGTGATTAAGAAATTCTGACATGCAGTTCAAAGGTGGAAGCCCAGGGAGGGGAGGGAGGGAAGAGAGAGAGTAGTGAGAAGTTGTTATTAGACGGGGTGGCGCGAAGCTTCCCTGTGCCCGATCCTTTGCAGTTCTGAGAGTCTGCTGCTCCAAGACTGTTTTGAGCGTCCCTGGGACAAGCTGCTTCTTTGTCCATCTTGAAAGGAGGGTTTGGCCAGATCAAGGTCCATGCTGCTGGGGGGGAGGGGCGGGAATAACCCTCCACGCGCTTTCAGACTGGGTGAGTTTCCATGTGCTACCCAGCTTTCTTAGCTTGGCTACAGTTTTTCCTGGCGGGAAGGGAATGATCTCCATGTGCCAAACATGCCCTGCAGTTGGGACAAGCTTCCTGTGCCTCTTGTTTGCAGTTGGCGTTTCTTGTGTCTTTTCGGTGCTGGGTGGGAGATCCCAGACTGACCATCTTTGGCTTCAGTCTCTTGTTAGTAGTGTCTTAGGCTACATCTACACTACGAGTTTTCTCAGCAAACAATATGCAAATGAGGGACTCCTATTTTCTACCGATCCATTTTTGCGCTGGAGTTTGTGCACAAAAACAAGCTGTGTGGACGTTCTCTTTTTGCGACAAAACCCCTTTTTCTGCAATATCCTTATGCCCCAAAAAAAGAGGTTTACCAATCTTGCGGAAAAAGGGGTTTTGGTGCAAAAAGAAAACGTCCACACTGCTTGTTTTTGTGCACAAACTCCAGCGCAAAAACGGATCGGCAGAAAATATGCAAATAAGATGACAAATCAAGCAAATGAGTCCCTCATTTGCATATTTTTTGCCAAGAAAACTCATAGCGTAGACGTAGCCTTAGAGTTTAATGTCCCCTACGGACCATTAGGTGTTCTAGTCTGATCTCCTATGGCAGAGAATAACTCTGGTAACTTTTGTGTCAAGCCCAGTAGCTTGTTTGACTAAAGCGTATTTTGTTATCTGCTGAGCGAGTTTGCTTGCTTTCCCATCAGTGCCCTCCCCCCCCAAAGGGGCATTGAGCCTGACCCGGTTGGTCTGCGTATCGGGGCAGGAGGCAGTGTCTCCGCTTCGCCTCACCCAGCCATCCTGGTGGCGTTGGCAAGAAAGGTGCTAATTGTTTGAACACCGATTTCCTAAGGAGCCAGCCATCAGCTGGTAAAAACTTTTGGTCGTGATTCCCTGGGGCTGTTCTAATTAGCGATGGCGACAGGAAGAGCTCTTTATCCCATTCCCAATCCCTGCACCCTGCAAAAGAGGCCTTTTCCTGGCTTCTCTTGCTGATCTTCAGCAACTCCAATCCCCTTTCTGTAGCCCAGCCCAATGTCAGTTCTATATTCTCCTGTAATTGGGTGCATCCCAAACGACCTTTACCTGTGATCTTTGAGGCCTGTCATCTGCCCTCCGTCTTCGACTTGCTCCTTGCTTTTCCTCGCCTTGTTTAATTGAAGACTGCATAGGAGACATTATCTCTCTGCATTTATTAGGAAGCTGAAGTTCTTATGTGCTGGGAAGATAGCCCATAAGCTGATCAGTGTTAAAGACCAGGCAATCCATCCATGGGCGCTTGGGAGGGAGAAACGGGACTCAATGCCCTAAAACGTCCCCGATTCTAGCAAAATACCATTCGCTGGCTGGAAATCGAGGTGGCCTTGCAGCCACAAAGTGATGACACTGTGCGCTGTGCCCACTGGGCGATTCGGAATAGGTTGAGCAATGCTGCTGTTTTAACAACTCAGAGCTGGTACAGTTGTGTAAGGGGAAAAGGTGGGGTTTGGTTTTTTTGGTTTTTTAAAATAAGCTAAGAAACCAATCTCACTTCTTCAAAACTGCATATGTCGGCAGAATTGGCTGCCTTGTCGGCTTCCTGGGGGGCAAAATTACCCCCCAAATCCAACGCCATTTAAAGGGCTTCTGGTCACGGGAACTACACTTGGAAAAGGTGTGACCTGGTCAAGGCCAACTGATCTCACAAAGTTGAGACTCCACTTTATTGGTTGCACTTACGTGGCCTTCACCCTCATAATATCATGGTGCTTCACACAAGCTTTAATATACCTGCTTTAACAATCTTCCTCCGCCTCTCGGGACTGGCTGAGCACTGCTGCTCTCCCCGTTACAGCGGTCACCTTCCCTGCTGATGTGGCTATGGAACGAAACAGCCAGTTGTTTTAATAAAAGGAGGAAGTGACACCTAGTGGCTACAGGCGATCCCGGGTTCTGTTCCTGGCTCTGCCACAGACTTGCTGTGTGATCTCAAACAAGCGGTTTTGGCCTCTTTGTGCTTCACTTTCCCCCACTGCTGCAGGGATCGTGGTCAGCGAGCTCTTTGGGAGCTCTGTGGACAAGATCCTGAGAGGGGCGAGTAGCTGCCTCACCAGCTGAAATCAACGGGCGCGTGCTATGGCCCCGCACCTCTTGGGATCCAGCCCAGAGTGTGTGAAGTGCTTGGAGATGACTCAGGGAAGGAGCTATAGAAATGTTGCTGGTTAGCCTTAAACAGGGTTCCTGTCATTCTGTCTGCTATCTCGTCCGTTGCAACAGCCTCCCACGCTCCCAGTGATGTTTATGCGGGACAGCACAAAGGTGAGCGGAGATGGGAGTTAGGGATGTAAGAGTGTAGCCGTTTAAATGGGTAATCGATATGCATGAGCTTAACCAGACGGTTACACGCCAGCTCCTGGTCCCGCTCCTGGGGAGCCAGCTGCTGCCTCTCCCCAAGAGTGGGATGGCAGGCGGGAACAAGTATGTGCTGGGAGCCGGCTTAAAAGCTGGCTCCCTGCACACACCGGCTCCCGGCTGCCACCCTGTGCTGCTGACTCTGTATGAGAGTGCAGCATAGGGCAGCTGCTGGCTCCCCGGGGGTGGGACTGGCAGCTTGGAGACACTGGCTGCCAGCCCTGCTCCCGGGGAGCCAGGGTGTAACTGTGTAATCACTAACATTTTTAGTGGCTACACGGTTACAGTAATAACCGTTTTTTAACATCCTTAATGGTAGTGTCCATCTCTCCCCTAACCCCAAAAACAAGGGTGAATCATCCCTCGAACGAAATGCTGGTAGAGAGCCAGAGATGGGAACTCACCTGGCCACTTCCTGCAACATATAAATGAGAGGGGGGCTGTCATTTCAAATTGTCAAGGATCCTTTTTCTACTATGGCCTGAAGCCATCCTGCCGCAGGCTGGGAACTTGCCAGATCTTCAGAGCCACGTTGGGTCTGGTTGGTAGGACAAGAGACCCTTCCGGACAGGTGTCGGAGAAGTGGTGCGGTGACGGGGTTGTGCTCTTCTTTCTGAGTTGGTAGGGAGCCGGCGGCCCAGCTGGTGCTTGGGGGCATGGGGCTGTAAATAAATTCTGGGATTCTTATTCTGGTAAGATGCCCATTCCCATCAGTAGGGAGGTTAGGTTGTGGGAGGACTGAGCCACAGGGCCCTTGGGTCAGCTTGGTTTAGGTGTACGCTCATTTTGTATGTCTGCTTAAACTCCATCCGCTGCCAGATTTATTCAGGGCCTTGTAAATGACGGTGAGCTTTCTTAGATGCAGAACCCATCTGTACACAGTAGCCCGTTCGTGCTGGGCAGGGCACCTCCTGCAAGCCCAGAGGTAGGGTGCCCATCTCTGCTCCCAGGCGTGCTGCTAGACATTCTTGGAGCAGAGAGGGAGAGTGGTCAGGCGGTCCCTACACCCTGGTTATTCTGCACCATCCCGTAGGTGCTATTGCAGTAAGTTTGCAAGACAAGGAAGCCTTTAGAGCTAGTGGACCTGAACAAGTAGAGGAGAGGCCTGTTACCAATGTGGGCACGGTCACAAAGTGGAGAGGGGAGGGACGGCGTAGGTGAGTTTTGCAGGAGCTTTGCTTCCCCTCTGTCTGTCCTGCCTCCCAGCCTCTCCCCCGTGTGCTCAGCTCTCACTAACAATCTCAAAGCACTCTGCGTACAGAAAGGTCTGACCTATATGTGTCCCGCTCCCACTCTGTTCCCCATGCAGGACTGTGAGTTGCTAGTTCTCGAGAAGCTAAAGTGGGACCTGGTGTCCGTGATCGCCAACGACTTCTTGGCTCACATCCTCCATCGGCTCCCTCTGCCTGCGGACAAGGTAGAGCTGGTGAAGAAGCACGCCCAGACCTTCATCGCCTTGTGCGCCACAGGTACGGGGCTGGGCATGGCAGAGCTGTCTTGCTGGGACTGGCCAGGCCAGTCCCAGCCGGGTGACTGATTTCCAGACAGGATCTGCACCCTCATAAATCAAGGCCTGTAGCTTCTCCCTGTCTGAACAACTGGGGTGAGAACACATGGGGTTGCCAGCTAAAATCGCCTTAGGCCCTCGGCCGGAAGCCGCCCCAGAAAGGCAGAGCCTCAGCCAGGGTATCATTACAATGGCTAACGCCTGGCATGATGCAGTCAGCTCTCTGTTAAAGTTACCTGTGGTCCGCGTACAGCCAGGCCTCTGGTGTGGAGAGAGCCGCACACGCACACCCCTGCGGAGCGTGCGCGTCACATCTGCTGGGAGTTCTAATGCATGAAGCCAAAAGCCGGCGAGGGCAAAGTCTTGCTGGTGCTTCCTGAGGGCATGCAGCATTGCTGTCTGCTGGGTGCTCCCCAGTCTGGGTCTAACCAGCCAAGCAATGCGGTTTCCAGCACTTTCTCTGCGGACGCTGTTCCACAGGCTAAGAGAGCTCCATGCTTTCCTGACATCCAGCCAGTGCAGGGAAGGGGGAACCTTTTTTGGGTCAGGGGCTGCTGACCCACAGAAAAATCAGTCGGGGCCACACACAAGTGAGAAACAAACAAACAAACAAAAAAAACCCTAACCCAAACCCACATTCATCTCACACCAGAGCTTGGTGGGGAGGGATAAGGCTAGTAGATTTTGTGGGCCCCCCTATGCTCTGGGGTGGGGCAAAAAATGGAGTTTGGTGTGTAGGAGGGGGCTGCTGGGAAGCATGTTTGGGGTCTGGGCAGAAGGAGGATACAGGAGTAGGTTGCGGTTGGTGAATCTGGGAGGGTGCACAAGTGGAGTGGGTGTGTAGGGTCTGGCCAGGAAGGGGGTGGGGACACAGGGATGGAGCGCCAGCTCCCCATGCTGGGGGGAGTGCTGAATCTTGGGGGCCAGATTTGGCCTCCGGGCTGTAGGTTCCCCATCTCTGGCTTAGGACTTGCCTATATGTGGAC